CTGCCTGCCTCCCTCCCTCCCTGCCTCCCTCCTTCACTCGCTCCCTCCCTCCCTCCCTCCCTCCCTCCCTCACTCCCTCACTCACTCCTCCTCACTGGCAGGCACCTCGCCGTCGAGCCCGCCGCCTCGATCGGAGACCTCGCGCCAGCGGTGCTAGCTCACAACCCCCGCATCATCCTCTTCAGCGGTGAGAGACTACGCGAGAGTACGCGAGATCACCCGAGACTACCCGAGATCGCCCTCGCACCATCCTCGTCAGCGGTGCAGAGGCAGCCGAGAAACGGCAGAGAGGCCCGCTCCTCTACCCTACCCTACAACAGACCCGAACCCTACCCTCTCTTCTCACCGACACGGCGCCTCTCCTGACAGCCGGCTATCTCTCGGCTATCTCTCGGCTATCTCTCGGCTATCTCTCGGCTATCTCTCGGCTATCTCTCGCAGGTCACTCCTTCATGGGCTCGCTCGCCTTCGAGCTCGACGACGGCCGGATCGACTTGCCGCCCGCCGCCGCCTTCATCTCGCAGCTCAGCCGCGAGGCGGCGCCGCGGCTGCAGTGCGTCTTCCTCAACGGCTGCCACACGGCGGCGCTCGGCCACAAGCTAGTCGAGGAGATGCCGTGGCTGTGCGCCACCTGCGGGTGCTTGAGATGACCCGAGATGACCCCAGATGACCCCAGATGACCCGAGATTAGGTGCGTCATTTGCTGGTGCTCCATCACCGAGGACGCCGCCGCGCGCGCCTTCGCCACCGGCTTCTACGACGCGGTGGGCGACTTCATCTTCAACGAGGAGCAGATCCGGATCGAGCTCGCCTACTGGCTCGGCCTCAAGCGCATGTACGACCAGGGCTTCCGGCTCGGCGACCCCGCCACGTACCTGCACCCGCCCGGCCACCCGCACCACTCCGCGCCGGTCTTCCGCGGCTGCGACGGCTGCTGCCCGCCCGTGCACGGCAACGTCGTGCTGCTCGCCTCGTTCGAGAAGCGGGTCTGCGTCCTCCGCCCCTCGCTGCCCTCGCAGGCCGACGAGCCGCGCCGCTCCACCCCGCCTGTCCGCTCCACCCCGCCGCGCCTGCACGCGCGGCTCGCGGCGCACGCGCGCCGCCTGTCGCTCGGAGCGGGCCCTGCCGGGCACAGGGAGGGCGGACAGAGGGACAGCGCGCCGCCCAGCCCGAGCGCTCCGCTGGACGGAGCTAGCGATCGCTCCCGCAGCGCGTCGCTCTCCAGCGCGCTGCCGGACTCGGCCAAGTACTCGGCGAGGCAGCTCGGCGGCTCGGCACGCTCCGCCGTCGCCGCCGCCGCCGGCTCGGCACCGCCGGGCCTCGCGCCGGGGCAAGGCGGCGGGCGGGGCGGCGCCAGGCTGCTACTAGACGCCGTCGAGCCGAACCTGCGGCTGATCGGCTGCGGCGACGCCAGGGCGACGCTGCACGCGACGTGGGAGCCGGTCGATGTGGCCGACTTGCTCGAGCCGAACCCGCTGCACTGCGCCGTCGACAGCTGGGTCGAGACGGAGCCGAGCCGCGAGCTCTCCACCGCCAGCCAGCCCGCGTGCTTGGGCAGGTCGCGCCGGCCCACCGGCGCAGGCACCGTCTCCGACCTTCCGGCCGACGGGCGGCAGCGCTCTCTCTCCCGCCCTCGCCTGGGCCGCAGCTGGGGGTCGGCGTCGGCACGCCTCGGCACCGCGCAGTCGGAGGCGTCGCGGTCGCGCAGCGGGTCGCGCAGCGGCCCGCTGATCGTGCCGCACGCCCACCGGAGCGGCAGCGCGAAGCGGCGCGAGCTTGGGCCGGACCGGCCGGCGCCGATGTGCGGCTGTCTCAGCGACTCGTGGCGCAGCACCCCCCGCGTAAGCAGCGCCTCCACGGATGCCCCGTGCCCGGAGGTGTCCAGAGACGGGTCGCTGAGGGCCGCCGAGGCGTCGTACTTGGCGAGCGCGAGCTTGAGCAGCAGTTTGGGCGCCGGCACGCCGCGGCTGAGCAGGATCATCTCGACGGACGAGCGTGCGGAGGAGCGGCAAATGATCGCGAATCACTTGGTGTCTCACTCGAGAGAGTCGTCCGGCAAGAGCGACTCCATCGACGAGCTCGAGCTTGGAGCGAGGGTGTCCGCCTCTCACCCCTCACTGTCTGCGATGTGAGCTTCTTGTTTCTTACTTTTATCAACCGCCCAGTCCCGTGCCCATTGTTTTGTGCGCGGGAGTTTTGTTGTAAATTATGTATGTAAAAGAGGAGTCTGGAGTGCAGTCCGAGAGGACAGGGGAGAGGGACGCGGCCAGAACGAGAGGGCGGGCGCCCGGGTTCGAAAGCCGGCGCTTTGATATTATAAGTGATATTATCAACGGAGAGAGTTGTTTTCAGTTAAATTCTTATCAACCTATCTGCGAGGTATCTATTTTCTTCACCTCTGTGTTAAAGAGTGTGCGCCACACATAGTGCGCGCCAGTCCCGTGCCCAGTGTCGTGCGAGGGAGCTTTCTTGTATTTTTTTCTCAATAACAAGGTCATCTCAACCTCTCACAGACCAGCGCACAGGTCTCGACGTATTTTGTAAAATTCTTCTCAATACAGTGGGTTGCGGGCATTAAGAAAACGTCGCATTAAGAAACCCTACCAAGCGATTTCCGCAAAAATCTAAGAAACCACGGCGCGCCGCAGGCGCGGCCCCGAGAAAAGGCCAGGCTGGTGTACCCGGGAGGAGGAGATGGGGGAGGGGAGTTACCGCGGTACGATAGCGGACCCGCCGGCGAACCGGAAAGCCGAGGCCGGAGGGCCCCAGGGGGGGCTTGGGGTCAGTTGTCGGAGGAGGTGAGAGATGAGCTAACGCGGCCTCTGAGAGTGGAGTCGGGACGTACGGGCTCACCGGGGGAAGGCCAGTCGCAGTGGCAACCGGACCACCGCGACCTTCGACAGGGAGGGCCACGCCTCCCCGAGCCTGGAGAGGAGCCGGCGGAGGGGGGGGGCGAGCCAGGGACGATAGAGAGGCCGCGAGTGCGGGCACGACTCGCCGACCAGGGAGAGCGGGCTCGACCTCCCTGGGAGGGGAGGCGACACGACCCAACGCCGCCGCCCCCGCCCGGGGAGACCTCGGCCGGGCCGTCGACGCCCTCGGAAGCGGTGGAGCCGGGAGAAGCTGGCGGAGATGAAGGGCGGCAGCGGAGGAAGCGACACCAACAACGAGGGAAACGGCCACACCGGCCGTCGCATGACGCTCGTGAGACGAGCAAGAGAACGAATCAAGGGGGGTCGGAACCCTGGGAGGACGGGGGGTGAGCCCTCATGCGGGGGGTCTACTCAAGTGCCTGCGCGAGTGAGTGTGGAGTGGGGGTGTGACGTGTGAGGCGTGCAGTGTGGTGTTCATTAGCTCCGAGTAGAGGGGGCGTCCTGCAGTTAAGGGGAAACCCGGTACGCGGGGCCAACCCTCGGAGACCCGTGTTTACTTTACGGCCCTTTCCCTGCGAACGCGCACCCCCGGGGCTAGGGCTTTCTTGCCCGCAACCCGATCCCGATCATCCGGCCCGCTGGGTGCGCTTCTTAGCTCCCCGGCCCTGGATGTGAGGCTAATGACTGCACTCCAAGTGCTCCAAGTGCCAGACACGAGTGTAACGGGAGCCGCAGCTCAAATTTCTCTTCGTTCGCCTGCCTGCGGCGCGCACTTGTCACTTTCCAAGTCTGCGGTGTTCTGAGTGGAGTGGATGGAGGCGTGTGTGCGTCTTCCCGTCATCCAGAGAGCCGACTTGGCGGCAGACTCTGGCACCGCCCTCGCGGACCGCAGGCAGCTTACCTCTTACCTAAAAATCCTTCGGGCCGGCGCTCTGGCTTGAGTGCCCCGGCCGGAGCTAAGAAACCACGGCGTGGGGTGGATGAGGGCTGTGGAAAGGCTTAGAAACGGCGGCGTGCCGCGGAATCCTGTTTTCTTAATGCCCGCAACCCACTGTAACAAGGCTGTGAAAGACTGCGGATCCCGGGGACGCACGTTCCGTCGAAAATCGCTCATGGGCGCCGAAGGCACGCTGTCCGATCCGCTCCTTGTTCAACGCGAGGCGAGCGACGCAAAGTCCCACCTCACAGCGGGCAACCTGGACGCCGACGTTCTCGTCGTCGGGGCAGGCCCCGTCGGGCTGCTCACCGCCATCGAGCTCACTCAGCGCAAGGTGAAGGTGGCCATCATCGACCGCTGGCCAGAGCAGGAGATTAAGACCAAGGCTATCGGTGTGGCCAAGGCGAGCCTCCAGATATTTCCGATTCCCGTCGCCAGGCAAATCGAGAAGGAGGCGTGCAAGCCAAAGGGCTCACGGGTCACAGAGGTTGTTGGGAGCGAGAGCACGACCATCATAGCCATCACTGGCTCGGACAAACCGGCGAAGAATGAATACGCGCCGCTGTACACCATCGAGCAGTGGAAGACCGAGAGGTTTCTCGAAAAGTTCCTCAACGGGCTGGGCGTCCAGATCCAGAGGCCTGTCGTCTTGAAAGACTTTGAGCAGACTGACTCTTGCGTGGAGTGCGTCCTTTCCTTTGAGGGTGGGCAGCACGTCGAGGAGGGGCAGGAGGCGCGACAGATGCGAGTCAGCTACCTTGTCGGCTGCGACGGCGGCGCAAGCTTCGTCCGCAAAAAGCTCGGTTTTGAGTTCCAGGGCGACGTGGCCAAGGCGTCCTTCGTTTCGGCGCATTGCAGATTTGACAAGCAGGCGGGCAAGGAGGACTGGAGCGACATCTTCTTCGGGAAGAATGTGCCCGGCGGCAACCCACTCGTCTCTGGTTTCTGTGTGTCCCTGCCCCTCAACAACAACGAGCACCTGATCAACCTCGACCTCGACGAAGAGCAGCAGAAGGGCTTCTTGCTCGACGAGGTGGACGCGCATGGGCTGCGCAAGCTAAAGGAGCTGACGATTGACGACATCCTTGACATGTTTCGTGCTCGGACTGGCTGTCCAGAAACCACGGTCAAGCCGGAGAACGTCATCTGGATAGCTCACTACCGCGTTAATAGCCGCCTCGCAGAGCACTTTGGCGCCGGACGGGTGTATCTCGCCGGCGATGCATGCCACTGTCATTCTCCAGTGGGTGGCCAGGGGATGAACATGGGCCTGCAGGACGCAAAGAACCTCGCCTGGAAGCTCGCCACCGTCATCAAGAAGCAGGCTTCGCCGTCGCTTCTCTCGACCTATGAGCAGGAACGACGAGGCATCGACGCTGTCATCACAAAAGCCGTCCACGCCGGCACATCGCTCTTCAGCCACCGTAACCCGCTGGTATTCTTCCTGCGGGGCCGCCCGCAGCGCGTGATAGGTGCCACAATCAGCGTCGTGCCGGACGCAGCCAAGACGTCGAGGGGATGGTCGTACAGCGGGTCGCCCCTGGCACAGGAGCATTGGGAGCGACCCGATCTGCTCAATACCCTGCGGGACATCCTTCGCGGGCCGTTCAAGATCTACCGAAGGCGCCAAAACCTCTTCCGCTGGAGCGCGAAGTTGGGCGGTCGCATCAGCGCGGGGGACAGCATACCGCCCGTGATGCTCGATCCGGACGACATTAACATCACAGCAGACCACCTCGAGAGGCACGGCGGAATGCAGCACTTGTACGACGTCGTTCGGAGCTCGCCCGGTTGGACCCTCCTCATCTTTGAGGGCTCGGCCAGCGCGAATAAGGAGTCCAGCGCAAACGGCCTACCCATCTGGTCCTTCGACCAGCTGGTGACGATGGGGGAGGAGGTGCAGGAGGCGGACGGCGGCGGCTTGGTCGACAAGGTGATTGTCTTCCCGAGCAGCGACTTTGAGGCGCACGAGACCTTCAGCATCCTCGCGCAGTGCCTACTTCTGGTGAGGCCAGATTTGTACGTCGGCTTGCGCTCGGAGCCAGTGAGGAAGGGCGCAATCACGCGCTACCTGACCGGCATCGGTGCAGTCGGCCTACCGCCAGCGAGTGACGAGTGCCCACCCGGGACCACCGTGTTTGACCCGCTGCCTGCCGCCATTGCGCTCGTGGTACTAGCCATCGCAATCTCCGTGTACTTTTTCGTGTGATTGTGAGCTGTGAGCGCTGGACCTGGGTATGTGGGAGCGGAGGGCCGGTCTCGCGCCCCCCGGGGTGGAGGCGTCTGGGGTGAGGGTGTCGAGTGCCGTGTGGACTGACTTCATTGAGTCGAATCTATACATCAACCACACCGCTCACACCGGCGCGCCCGACACAGCGTCACCGTGGTGTGTCGGGCCCCACGCAACTCCAGAGACTGAGCGAAACGCAACCCGGGTGCCCATCTCATCCCGTGTAAAGCAGGATGCTGCCATCGGCGCCGGCCGAGAAGAGCCACGGCTGCGTCGGGTGCCACGCGATGTCCATGACGCCGAGGTGCGATGCGATCTCGTGGCCCTTCAAGATCTTGAGCGGCACAATGAGCGCGTTGCTCATCAGGTCCGAGTAGACGCGCCCGTGGTACACGTGGACCGAAGCGTCGTCCGAGGCGGAGGCGAAGAGCGGCAGGCGCGGGTGGAAGGCGACCGAGCGGATGGCGAGGCTGTGCGAGCGGAGCGTCTTGTACGGCGAGGCGGAGAGGTCGAGGTCGAACCAGCAGAGCCGCTTGTCGTACGAGCCGAGCAGCAAGTTGTCTCCTCCGGGGTGGACCGAGAGGGACGAGATCCACTTTGCCGACGGGTTGAGCTTCTTGTGCAGCTCCTGCGAGGCGAGGTCGTAGATGCGCACGTGCCTCTGCGTCGCGACGCACAGCCACGGCTTCTTCGGGTGGAAGGCGACCGCCTCGACCCGCCCCTTTGACTTAGCAAACGGAGAGCCGGACTTTCGCCTCGAGAGCTGGTGCAGCAGCACGGCGCGCGACGCCCCTTCGGGCGCGACCGAGGCGAGGTAGTCGCCGCGGTGGTGCCAGCTCACCGACGTGGCGCTCCGCACGTGCGACACCTCCCACGCCACCCCCTCCGACTGCAGCTCCGCGCTCGGCCGACTCCACACGACGGCCCCCTCGGCCGGCTCGGAGGAGGCGCCGGCCTCGCCGCCGCCCGGCTCGAGCAGCGCGGCTCCGCGCACCGCGGCGGGGAGCGGCTCGCGCAGCGGCAGCAGCAGCAGCATCTTGACGCCAACCACGGCGGCGGCGACGGCCGTCTCCCCGTTTGGGCACCAGCGCACGGACCGCACCTCCGCGCCGAGGCTGCACGTCCGCTCGCAGCGGCCCGTCTCGACCTCCCACAGCTTGACGGTGCCTGCGGGGCACAAGCCGCCGGTGAGGCTGCGGCGAGGCTGCGGCAGGCGGCGGCGAGGCGGCGGCGGGGCGGGGGAGGGGGCGGGGGAAGGGCGAGGATCAGAATTGCAGAATTCAGGATGGGGTGGCGTTTCAGCGCCGCAAGGGCTCAAATAGAACGCAACGACCTGTGCTTCCTCCTTTCCGGGGCAGGGGCGGGCAGGGGCGGGCGGGGGCAGGAGCAGGGGCGGGCAGGGGCGGGCGGGGGCGGGCAGGCGGGCGGGGGCGGGCAGGGGCGGGGGCGGGCAGGTGGCGGCGTGCGCGCCGTCCGCCGACGCGGAGAGAAGGTGCTCGCCCGAGGGCGAGACGGAGACAGAGAGGACGCGGCCGGCGTGGCCGACGAAGCGGGAGGAGAGGCGCTCCGGGAAGGGGCGCAGCTCGGCGGGGGAGGGCAGCTGCGGCAGGAGCGAGTCTGGGTCGATGTCGAGCCTCGTCTTCGCCTCCCGCGGGCAGAGGTACAGGTCGAGGCAGCGCTCGAACCGCTCCCGGATGAGGCCGTCGTACTGCGGCACCTTGCGCATCGCGTCGTAGGCCTGCGGCACGAAGCCAAGCGGCCGGTCCGCCGGGTCCATCTTCTCCCACGCCTTCGCCTCCTCCGGCGTGAAGAGGTACTCCTTTGGAGGGTTGTACGACTCGGCGTTGCCTGAGTCACAAGAGCGAGAATGAGACCGCAAGGCCGAGGAGTGGTGGGTGAGCGGCGTGCGACTCGGCGTTGCCTGGCAGCGACACCTTTGGCGCGGGGAGGCGCTTGCGGTGGCGGACCTCGCCCTCGGGCGGCTCGTCCCAGATGAGCTGCTGGTAGTCTGGCCGCTCCTTCGCCTCTTGCAGCCGCCGGTTGGCGACCGACCTCTGGTACTGCTCGGAGCGCATCGCCATCACGAGCCGCATCACCTTCTTCGCCTCGTCCTTCGAGGGGAGGAAGGGGGCCTTGCGCGGCGGCGCAGAGGAGAGCGGGTGGACCTTGCCGTCGGGGAAGTCGAAGGGCACCGTCTCGGGGTACGGGTCGAAGGTCGCGCCCGGGTAGCGCCGCCGCTGCAGCCTCCGGATCAGCGCGACGTCCTCCTGCGACAAGACGACGTCGACGCCGTGCAGCGCGTCGTGGATCGTCCGGTTGGCGTCCGGGTCGTCGAAGCGCTTGATGAGCGCGTCGAGCTCGTCCGTCCGCGCGCCGCGCATGATCTTGCGCCCCTCGAGGTCGTACCCCACGTGCTCGAAACCGTCGTACCACTCGAGAGGCACGTTCCCAATCGTGTTGAGCGGCATCTCGTCCTCCGAGTCGCTCTCGGGCTGCTCACTCCCGCCCAGCCCCAGCGCCGCCGCGCCCCGCCGCGCCTCGGCCTCGTCATCGCCATCCTCCTCCTCCGCCGCCGCGTCCGCTGCCGCCGCCACTAACGCCGCCGCCGCCGCCTCCTCCTCCTCCTCCTCCTCCTCCGAGTCCACGTCGCTGCTGTCCACCTCGTCCTCCTCGTCCTCGAGCTCCTCGCCCTCGAGCTCGGCGTCATCCTCTCCGTCGCTCTCGCCGCTGCCCTCATCCTCCGCCTCCTCGACCTCCTCCTCTTCGGCATCGCTGTCGTCGGAAGCGGCCATGTGCTCAGCCGTCACCGCCTCAGCAGCGGCAGGCGGCTCCACCGCTGAGGCCGGCTCGACATCAGCGGTCTCCTCCCCAGCAGCGGCTGCCGCGGTGCGCCGCGTGCGCACCATGACGAGGACGACGGTACGTAGCAGACTGTTTCCTATAAAGCCTGTCCACCTGTTTTTCACACCTTTGAAAAGGCCGTTCAAACGCACCCTCTCGCCCCATGCAGCCGGCTGCTTGCTGGTGGCACTAGGGCCGCTGGGACGCGCAAGAAGAATGAGCAAAAAAGACGAAGATGGCGACGAGCACGAGCATGCCAAAGTGGGACTTCGCGTGCGGGTCGAGGGGCAATCCAAGCTCTCTTCACAGGGGTGTGGCCGTTACAGGTGGTCGGCCTTACTAGGAGGACGGCCCCGTGCGCGCTCCCAGCGCCGAGCCGCGGCCCCACGCGCCACCTGGGCTGCCTCTGGCACGGCCGGGGTCCGCCGAGAGGCTGGGCTTGGCCGGCGGCGCGACGCGTGGCCTGTGCTGCGTCCGTCTCGGACGTTCAAGCGGCGCCAGCCAGCGGCTCGGCCGCGCATCCTTCACACACGCCGCCACAACCGAGATGAGCGGGCCCAGTGTCGAGCCTTGATGTGAGCTGCATGTGCGCGGCGGCCGTGGCGACAGCAGGTCCACCAGACGGACCTTAAAGCTTGCCGTCGGCGTGCTGTCGTGGCGAGAGCGCGAGACAGCTGCAGAGGAGCCGAGTGCAGTGGCGAGCCAGAGGCTACCTGGGTCACCAAGTGGTGGTTCTTGCCCATTCTGAGCAGGGCTGTGCTTTGGTGGGGTTGTGCTTGAGCGTGTGTGAAGTGGGAGTGCGTGCCGGCGGTGTCTGTGGGTGAAACAGGCGTGTGTGAGGCCGTAAGAGCCGTGGTATGAGCCAGAGTGGGATTCATCACCCAAAATAAGGGCGGTTTGGGACAGCTCAGGCTTGATACTGATGGGCCTTGGCCAGGAGAGAGACAGAGAAGGCGAGGTGGTGAGCTGGGAAGCCGCTTTGTCTGCACCTGGACGTGTCGCGATGAAAAGTGCCAAGAAGCGCCTTTTGCGGCTATTGCTCAAAACCTTTGGAGAGAAGGCCTACACATTATGACTGCATCCATGCGTCTGGTGCATGAGGGCTGTGGATCGGGACATTTCACGGTCGGTGGCGCCGACAATGACCTCCGTAAAGCCCTCACAATCGCTCGGCACGGGCCACCGGGAGTGCTCTCGAGCGCCTACACCGGAGCATCACGAGCCGGTGTGAGCTTGAAGACCCGAGATAAGTGCGGTCTGGGACAGCTCAGGCTTGCTACTGATGGGCCTGGGCCAGGAGAGCGACAGAGAGGGCGAGGTGGTGACCTGAGAGCAGGAAATAGCGCTTCGTGGCACGTGCTTCGCGACAAGGTCACACGCGGACGCTCCAGCCTCTCAGCTCACCACCTCGCCTTCTCTGTCGCTCTCCTGGCCCATGCCCATCAGTAGCACGCCTGAGCCGTCCCAGACCGCACTTACCTTGGGTCTGCAAGCTCACACCGGCTCGTGATGCCACGGAGAGGGCTCGAGATTGTCTCCGGTGGACCCCTTGCCGAGCGGTTGCGAGGCATTCCGGAGGTCATTATCGGCGCCACCGACCGTGATATGTCCCGACCCGCGGCCCTCATGCACCAGAGACGCATGGATGCAGTCATAATAGGTAGGCCTTGTCTCCCGAACTTTTGAGCAATAGCCGCAAATAGTACTTTTCGGCAGTTCATCACGACACGTCCAGGTGCAGACAAAGCGGCTTCCCAGCTCACCATCTCGCCTTCTCTGTCGCTTTCCTGGCCAAGGCCCATCAGTATCAAGCCTGAGCTGTCCCAAACCGTCCTTATTTTGGGTGATGAAGCCCACTCTGGCTCATACCATGGCTCTTACGGCCTCACACACGCCCGTTTCACCCACAGACACCGCCGGCACGCACTCCCACTTCACACACGCTCAAGCACAACCCCACCAAAGCACAGCCCTGCTCAGAATGGGTAAGGGCTACCACTTGGTGACCCAGGTAGCCTCTGGCTCGCCACTGCACTCGGCTCCTCTGCAGCTGTCTCGCGCTCTCGCCACGACAGCACGCCGACGGCAAGCTTTGAGGTCCGTCTGGTGGACCTGCTGTGGCCACAGCCGCCCCTCACATGCAGCTCGCACCAGACCTCGACACTGGGCCCGCTCATCCCGGTCGTGGCGGCGTGTGTGAAGGATGCGCGGCCGAGCCGCTGGCTGGCGCCGCTTGAACGTCCGAGACGGACGCAGCACAGGCCATCGCTCAAACAATCGGCCGGTGCTAGGGCCGCCGCAGTCGCCGGTGGGCCCACGGCGATGGGCCTGGTCGATTTCAGCCGACGGGAGGGCAGCAGGGCCGCGTGCGGGGCCTGCGCTAGGATTGCCCCGTCGTGCGCACGGTGTCCCCACTGTAGGTGGACAGGCTTTATTGTGCCGCACTTTTTGTTTGCCTTGCGCCTCTCGAAATGTTTGCCTCGCTTCTGGCGGGATGTCATGCGCCTCTCCCACCCTCGCCGCCCGAACGTGGATATCGCGCCGGAGGCGGCTGCCAGAAGAATTCTTTGGACAAGCCTCTCTCACAGCACACTGGCACGAGGGTGAACCCCCTGCCCAGCCCCCCTCCGTGTCGCGATGCGCTCCCCGCTCCCGTTCCCCTGTGTCCCTGATCGTCCTACAAGATCCTGCTTGTGCAGGTGGGGACCCTGTCCTTCTCCCACCCCTCGTTTGGCGTGTCCGTTGTATTTATTTATTTATTACACTGGCACGACAAGGGCGCAGCCTGGCGCGGACTGGCACACACACAGGCTCACCACCGGAGCCGCCTAAGCGACTCCGTTAAGAACGGCAATGCACTCCGCACCATGCACAATGCCGCTCTCCCCGGCTGCCAGAAGAATTGCCGCTCGCCGAGATCGAGGTTCGCTCATAGCGACTAGCACACATGTAAAGAGTCGCAAGAAACCCGAGGAGTCACACAGTCCACCTGTGTGATGCGCGCCCTGTGAGCGGGGCGGGGTGCGCACTGTGCCTCTGTGTTCGTGCGTCGCCCATCTCTCCTCTGGTACCTGGTCCTGGAGATGACTGCTCTAACCTCTATTTATTTATTAAGTTCGGCTCGAGCCGCGGGCCGCGCGGCGGCGGCCGCGGCCGCGGCGTGCCGGGCGGCGGCGGCGGCGGCAGTGGTGGGCGAGCTTCGCGCGCGGACTGGCCCGCTCCCCCTACGACGGCGGCCCCCGCCTCGAGTCCAACGAAGCCTCGCTCTACGAGGGCAGCGACGCCGACGAGCTCTAGAAGCGGCCGCCGAGCCCAACCCGCGGCGCAACCCTAGCAGCGCCGCGGCCAAGGCGGCTCGCGCAGCGCCCGCGCGCTCGCGCACACGCGCGTGGGGG